ATTTCCGCATGCAGTTCTCGGATGATAGCAACGCTATACATTAAACAGCAACACCCTATGGGTCTTACCCTAAATTGATAAAAGTGGAAACTTGCTAGATTTTAATTTTTTTTTTTTTAATTTAAATAAATATTAACGATCAATATATTTTCAATTTTATTAAATTTGGTAAAAATACTTTAACAAGACTAAATATAATCGACAATTCAATTAAAAATATATATTTTTTAAATACTGCCACCTGATAGGCATTATTTAACAATTTCTATGATAATTGTATGAAATTAATATATGTATTATATTAATTTTCATACATGATTCATTTAGGAAAATTAGTATAGTAACTATAAATAACTGTTATTTTATAAATCATAAAAAAAATTATCTTTAGATGTAAATTTACTATCACTTTTACTTTACAGTCAGAAAAAGTTAAAACAGTACAATAAGGTTTTATATCGACTGTCTTTTTAATTCAATTAAAATATTTAAAATAAAACTCAAAAAAGAATTCTGAATTAAAATTAATTAAATTTGAGAGGTACTCCTTTTATTTGTATTCGTATAAAAGCAACCCGTCACATTTACTTTCCACTTCTTATCCCTTTATAAAAAAAATGTGGATATACCACTTTATATAAAATTATATTTAAACGGCAGATTTCTGTTCAGAAATAATATTAAACATTTTTAAATTAAATTTTCTTAGTAACACATTTTTTTAGGATTTTTTTTCAAATCCTCAACAGTGTTCATTTTGTACGAAAACAAGAAAATTTGATAGTACAATAGAAAAGTAAGCCTGTTAAAAGATCAGCTAAGTTATTCGTTCAATATAATACTCTTTCATTTTATTCTATAGATATATTCTATATAATTTTATTTTAATCGTTTAGATTAACAAGTATGTTTTTTATTAAACACAAATAATTTATACTTGGAAATATACTGTTTACTATCTTCTCTCATCACAAATATTCTTGTTATCATTATTTTATACAATGAAATCGTTAATTTGTTTAATAAATTTCAAGAATTTGTACATCATCAATACTATTGGACTATGTAAGTATGAACAGTAGTGCTCTATAACTTTATTAACTGATGAGTCCTCTAGAGGACTAAGACTTTTAAATGAAGTTATTTTCCTGTATTTTTCAGGATAATCTGTCAAAATGCGCAATATTACAGTGTTATTTAAAAGAAAATTATTTAAATTTTATCTTAAGTAGAAAAATTAAGATAAATTGATGTATTTAGTTTTTATAATTTACCTAAGTTCACTTCAATAAAATATTCTAGTTAGATAATCTAATGGAACTAGATGTTTAGATTTAGCCCATTAATAAATGATTTTATAAAAATAAGTATTCAAGTTTTATTTGCCACGAAAATAAGTGTTTGGGTACTTTTATAATTTGTATAGATTAGAATATTATATGTCGTGTGCAAAAAATTATAAATCAATTTTATCAGAAAGCTTTGTTTTTACACTTCAAAAATATTAATTTCCATAGGACACAAGTGAAATTTGTTTTTGATCTCTCGAAAAAATTGTTAATAGTAATATATCAGCTTTTTGAAAATAACCATTGAAAACTTTTAACTTATATTAAATAAAATTTCATTTTATTCATTCTTAATTGTGTTTTTATACTTTCGCTATCAATAATAGATAATTTAAGTTTGTAACATAACGTGGAGTTACCCTATTTAATTTAACATTTATCAAAAAGAAAAATCTTTGAAATACATTTTTTTTTCCATAATATTTTTAAGCCAATTAAAAAAACAACATTTGCTATTATAAAGAAAAAATGATGTATTTTTAGACATTGTAAAAATGTTATAATTCTTTTCCTCTCTTCGTAATCAAATTGGAATAGTTCCAATTTTATTTTGCTTACTTCACTGTAGATATTTTATTTCAGCAATTTAAAATAATATGTTTAATTCCAGTTGGTTGCTTTAGTTTCTATTTAGTTGTGCCGACCTTTGCTTTTACATTCTATAAAATGTATTTCTGCTGCTTTATTAATTTGTTATTATATAACAACTGTAAATATAATAGTACAGTTTGAGAATTACCGATTTTTTTAAGGCTTTCACTAATAATGTACTAAAATATTAACACATATTTATATTATTTAATGACGTTATCGATTATTGCAATAATTATATAATTATTTACTTAAAGGTAATTATTAAATAATCAATATGAAGAATTATTTATAAAATCTTAATGTTTCACTCTGTACGTTTATTGACCGTACTATTACAATGGTGAGTCATATGAATACGAATTTTCATACTTAGCAAACCAAAGTAACTAAGCCTTTTTTTGAGCCTTATATATTTTATTGTCATGTAAAATATCTATGTCCGACTAATTTTTGCTTAAATTCTTTGTCATTTAATTACATAGGTAATTCTTGGTTCCATAAAATAGACCATTTGTTATGTAACGCTACATTATTTTAAATACTTATGTTTGTGCAAATGTTATACGTAATATTAATGGGCCGACATTTATTGCACGTAATATGTACATTTAAGTACCTGCATTAATTTTGAATAACCTGTTAGCTGAATATAATGTTTTGTTAACATAATTAAACTTAATCACGCTAAACGCGAATTGTTTTCATTACCATATATGTAGAACAATTCATAAATAGATATTNTATATATATATATATATATATATATATATATATATATATATATATATATATATATATATATATATATATATATATATATATATATATATATATATATATATATATATATATATATATATATATATATATATATATATATATATATATATATATATATATATATATATATATATATGAGTCGTCCAGTTACAAAAGGTACTATGTGCAAAAAAAAAGTTTTTTAATTTCACTTTTCTTATCTAGCTGTAATCTAATTTAATAAGAAAAAACAAAATTACAAAAAAAATTTTTTTTGACATGCATTCTGTTGTAAGTTAACGACTTGTATATGAAATATATGAAGAGTGATTTTTCTAAATTAAAATAATAATTTATTTCTGGTATTTTTTATTTTTAGATTTATCGATTATTAAATATTTTTTTAATTCATCTATTATACCTTTTATGGTGTCAACATTTTTTTCAATACATAAATATTTAACTAGCAAATAAAATAAAAATTTTAAATACGACAAAAAATTTTCTTAACAAAATTATTGTTTTATGATTCATTGAGTGACCTATATTAAAAGAATCACCATATTTACAAATAAAATTATATTTTATATTGTTTGAAGCAGAGTATGATTGAGAAAAAACAAGAAGTCCACATTAAATGCTCTACATAAAATAGAAACCGATAAATATATAATTAAATGTTAAATTTTGAAATGTAATAAATAAAAATGTAGTGAAGTATCTTTTTTTTATATGTAAGTAACTAAATCAGTTTGGTCAACTAATTAACTCTTTTAGATAATAAAATTTTATATCCTATTGTCAGATGATTCAAGAAATAATATAGAATTTCAGACTTTATTTGAAAACTCACCTAGAGATTAATTTAGTGGCTCATAATAATTGACATTATTGGGACACATTAATTTTTTCAAAATTTTCAAATGTTGAAAATATTTATGATTTTTCTCCAATAAAAATGTGCCCAACTAACGGTTTTTATAAAAAAAAAAAATAGCCAATTACGCCAATACTTGAATCATCCAACATCTTTTTTATAGAGTGTTCAACAAGTAAGGAAAAGATCCATTATTATTAACAACAGGTACAATAAAATTATTTTTCCATATTTTTTTATTAGTTATGTAATAATATCATTTCAAATATTAAATGATAGATTTGGTAAAATAAAATAAAATAATTTATTTAATTAGAGAACAGTAGCATTACTAGTATTAAAGTAACCCTTTTAAACCCAATCATTATATCAGTGATGTGATTTACAGGAGAACACAGGGCTTGTGGTCCCGATTGAATATGTAATGCTGATATAGAAATGTTTGCTATCTTTTTATGTCATATTTTGTTCAAAATATGTTAACAAATTTTAGTAGTAGCTTGTCAATTAAAAAATTCAATTTGTGACCCCCACATTATAAATTTCTAAATACGCCCCTGCGTATTACCTAATTGTTCATAAATAAATAGTATTTAACATTTAAGAAAATATGTTGGTAATTTAATTCATTAATGTAGCAATAAAGAACATCAAACTGGTATTTTAATATTCAATGATTAATTAAAATAATATCTTCAATAATTTTATTATTTTAATTATATTATAACAATTAATGTTTGAATCTTTGTATAATTAATAATATAATTATTTTATTACTACACAAAAATTGGATTAATAGTTTAAAAAAGGAAAGATTTTTTACTATTAATAACCTTTTTTATGTTTAACACTTGTCAAACAAAGAAGGGTGTATTTAATTTTAAGTTGGTACTTAGCAACTATTACAGGTTTCACGAGTTTTTAAAATATTTCACCATTTACAATGTGCGTATAGTTCTGATAGAATGCAATTGAAGTAAGCATAAATAAATGGAAAGTTATTGTATTTATAAAAAATTTTAACAACTTATTGGTATTATTAACATATTGGTAGTATAATAATATTAATCAATAAATGTATACTTCATAAAAAACAGTAATATCAGTAGCATCTATCACTTCATAGGAGTTGTGTATTTCATTACATTTTTTCATTGAATAAATTAAAATTTATTCAATTTTTTAATACCCTTTAGAATTATAAATTTTATGTGATGTGGTGAATACATTAGATATATTTTTTACATCTCATAACCGACACATACACCGAGGTACCCTAGAGGTTTTTCTTTGAAACCAATCTTAAAGATTTTTCATAGTCATAAAATAATTGTTTATATACTTTCATGATAATTAGATATATTAATTTTGGTAGTAAATTATTAGACTATCATTGTTATTCATATTAGTTAAAAAGAAAATTACTGTGAACATTATATATTATTGAATAAGTCTAAAAATTAAACATTTTATTGTAGCTTACCGCGAAATAAATTATCTGTAGTTACAATTTTGGTGATTTCTATTTTATTGGATATTTTCAATAATATGCATAATGCACGATAAGATCTATCATACCATAATAGACACATTTTAGTTCACATATCACGATTTTTTAAAGCCTGCAAAAATAGTGACAAAGATATTATATTCTCTATTTGCAAGATTCTAGTCTTTAGTAATTGGTATATTGGCCAAAAACTGTAAACTTTTTATGCAGAGGAAACAATGAACTTAAATTATTATTGGCCACTGATCCGTTTAGATAAACTTAGAAAAACTAAATACTTTTGTTTGAATATCTCTTTTACGGAAAGCTTTGGTTTCTTAAGAAATTAAATTAAACCCTAATTAGCATAAATATATATGCATATATATTTTATCAAGTAAATGGATCCCAAAGATATTGGCATTTCTAAATAAATATCTAACTTTTCATAATATTTAAAATTTAAATTATTAAACATATATATATATAGAGAAAGAAAAATATAAGGCGGTATTACTAGATACTGATGATGAATTATTTTTTACAAGAATTATTCAATTACTAGAAATCAAAAAAAATTCTTAGTAATTTTACCGTAAAATTGTTACAAATTTAATGAATACGAATCTACAAGTATAAACTATTATTTTTTAATCCAAAATTAATAAAACTTCCACATAGTATTTTAACATAATTTCAAAATAAATAAAATAAATAATTATTCGTGTTAAAATGCATTAAATTTCTCAAACTTCATCATTTTATGAGTCATATTTAAAAATCATATTAAATAACTTAAATAATTTTATTTATTTAGTTAGTATTTTAAAATTTATTTTTAATTATAAATATAAAATAAGGAACCTTACTTTTTAATTTTATAATAGCAACGTGATGTAAATCATTTAGTTGCCGTCTTAGCGCTGATGTTCAGCTGCATTGTTAGCTGTTGGTTCTCAGTCAGGTGACCATACGGAAGCTTTCTCAATAACATACACCTTGCTCCCTTACTAACTACCTCAGTCATAATGAGGTTGCGCCAGGTCAACAGCTGGTGTAAAAATTCTGTAAAATTATTGTAAGGTAGAAATTGCACCAAATAGTTGGGATAAAGGCTAAGGAGATGATGATGGTGATAAATTTATAATTTCTNTAAAAAAAAAATTGTGTTGTAATTTTGCTTTTTCCAACGATTTAGATTACAGCTAGATAAAATAAAATAAAATTGTTTTTGGACATACGTCCTTTTGCAACTGGATGATTCAAATGGAAAATGATAAAACTCATTATCTAAAAAATGTTTAATTATGTAAAAATTTGGTGGGAAAAATGTCTTGCCTGTCCTGTTTGATTAATATTGGCTGTAGCAATGAGAATTGTTAATGGGATTTCATGGTATATGACACAGCATTATTCTTCTCTTCCTATCTATACACCTTTATTATTATTAATCATCAATGTATACCAATATAAAAAAATTTCGGTATCTTCTAACTCACCTGTTCACTGGTTCCCAAGAGTATGGTCATAAATATTTATTAATCCCAGTTTTTCCATTTCTCTCAAGACCGCAGTGACTAAGGTCATAGGAATATACAGTGAAGCTTTTGTCACCTAACAACTTTTTTACGAGAACTATTGTCGATCCTTTTATAATTTTATATTTTCATCATTTGTATTAAATAACTTGAAAATATTATATTATTTTTCAATACAATTGTAATCTAATTTACATAATTCCTCTGCAATTTAATGCTTTATATCTCTCTTATTTTTTAATGTATATTTTCAGTTTAATCGTAACAGAAATTGTGTACATAAACATGAAAAATAAATAAATATTCTTTAAATGGTATATTTATTATATTAAAATATTATTGTGTTATCTATGTAGTAATGATTATTTTATAATAAGTGAATTTTTTTATATTACATTTGTATCATTGACACTTTTCATAAATCATTACAAAGAAAACAAGATCCCCTCGTATAGTTAATAAATTATTTGAATCAGCATTATTTTTTAAAACTTTATATTAATTTAATTTTTCGAATTTTTTGATCAATGTTAACTTTAATATTTGCAATAAGATTATTTCAATTGATTCTATTATAATACTCAAAGGCGATTTTACGAGATAGGGGTTTGAGCTCGACCTCAAAACATAAAGAAATATATGTATTTTAATTATAGTTTGAAATGTGTAAGGTTTATTATATATAACCCCTTCACCACACGAAATGTACTTACACTCTGGAAGTAAGATTTTGTTTTATTTTAAACTAGCTTAATTTGTATCACTTAATTACTAAAAATTGAGTTATCTGATAAAATATTTTAAATTAAAAATCAAACCTCGTTTGTTTAAAATTATTTCAATAGGTTATTTAATTTGTATTGTACGATTATACATATTTTTTTATTTTAGTTTATTTATCACGTATAATTTAAATATGATGTATAATAATTACAGTGTTGCAGAATTTTTTTTCACCAAAACAATTTTCTATTAAACGACCATGATATGTGAATATTCAATCCACTAATTAATGTTAAAATAATTTATGCATATTATTTGCATTACATATACATTTATTTATTTTTGATCTTGTTTTGCCATAAATACATACCAGTAGATATATTAGTTTAATGCTAATATACATAATTTTGTTTTTATTTTTCTATAACCATCAAGTTTGAAGGTGTTCCCGTATGTGCTTATCATTCAATAATTAATAAATTTATTTATTTTTATATCAACAGAATAGTTTTACTCGCCATAAACAAATTTTACTAGGGCATTTTTTAAAAAATTACAAGTCTCTCGTTATAATAAGGGATAGTACAATAATAATTTTCACTTATCTACATTTTATGTATACATTATTTAAATATATTTAAGATACATATTATTGAATTTTTCCATATATATATATATATTTATTTATTGATGTAAGCTTATATACTACTTTATATGATTTTTTCCAATCAATTATTTCGAACGTATTCAATTAAAACTTTCATGTTACACACGTGTTGATTTATTATAACTTAAGCAGTACTTTTATTTTGATCAAATATTGAATAACCATAAGCTGTTACGGTAAAAGTATTTTTAATACTTCGGTAATCTATATTTTACCTTATATAATCAAAAAAGCTATTCCTACATTTAATCAAATTCTCACAACTTTTTATGTTTGAACTTGAAGCATAATGTTATAGCAAACGATCAAATTACTATTAAAATTAGTCTTAGCCTAAAGTAAGACTTATATTATTATCATAAAATTTGATATTGCTATTCAACGAGCGATTTTTCGATCATAATCATAATTGTATTTAACAATATCAATGAAAATATAAAATATTTTATCAGTAATAAATATATAGTACTCGTATTTTTTATTAATTAAATTAAATTTTAATTATTTCATTTATGTGTATATACATATATATATATATATATCCCTTTAAAACTTTTTAAATGGAAATATATACGTTTAACCCGATTAAAAATAAGAAAATGACTGGTCGTAATTAACTTTTAAACCAGTATTATGGTAATTATACAGACTTTAATATATGTTTTTATGTATTATTTATTCTGGTATGTCATACAAAAATCATCTTCTCTGTATATTTTTTAAAAATGATACACTCCATTTTTTTTTTTATTAAACAATGTTTTTTTCATAAAAATGTAAAAATTAAAATTTGTTTTACTTTTATAAACAATATTAAATACCAAGTTCATTTTAAAAATAAATATTTCTAAGGGTAAATTTTAGTGGTAATTTTTGTGAGTTATACAGGAACCTATTATTATTTTTTAACTAATAAATGAAGAATTAAATAACATTTTGATTGGTTGATAACCAGTTTTGTATCACTACTTTTTGTGTTATTGTAATTTTTAATTATAGGCGGAGGAGTGTGCACCATTGAATAGCTCTTATCTGTACGGCATGGTAAAAAAAAGTCTCTAAACACTTCCTCGCTCATCACCTTTTCTACATTTTCAAATTCTAATATATTTTTATTTTTGACAATAATTATCAACTTTAAGTGCGGATTTTAATAATCATAATAGAATAATTGTACATCTTGAGGTTTAAACCTTTAAATTAAAAGGTCATTAAATTTTTCAAATTAGTTTATTGTTTGATTGTATTTAAAAATTAACACTTCTGTGTAGTGGGAGATGGTCGTTTGATTACAATGATTATTAGTCAGTTGAAATGTTGTTTCTTAGGCTTGTTAGCAAGGGTATTTTAATTCCCACTTTCACTCTTTACCATTGAAAAATTTCAGCAAAGTCTACTCTTATAAATTGATGTACGGTGCATTCATTCAGTTAATACTAGAAGGTAGTTCAAACCAATAGCGTTAAATTATTTTGTTAGAAATAATATTTATTATTTTTTTCATTCAATAATGGTTTCTTCAATAAATCAAATAGCAGTTTGTAAGTATGATAAAAAATATTTTCTTCGCGTAAAATTAATGAAAAACACTTAAATTTTTTTTAGTGCTATCGGTTATCTTAGTAACTACTTCAGCTTTACAAAAACTTACCGAGTTGTACAGTTGGTCCTCTTTAGATTATACTTTTGCTAATGATGAACATAAAAGTTACGCGCTCGAAAGAGGTGAATTCATACCAGAGAATAACTTACCTGTTGGAATCGAAGTTTGGAAAAACAAACTGTTTGTCACTGTTCCGCGATGGGCTGATGGTAATTATTTACAAGTTTATTAATTATCTATAGTATCTAGTTTTTTTAACTACAAGAAACACGTTTGGCAAAAAAACACGTAAGAAAAATAATATCAGGTTTTAAATAATAACAACTTATTAATAGTTATGATTCATTAATAGCGAGCCAGAATAGTAAACTTTAAATTATAATTGTTTTATAATTAATTAATACAGTCATGATTATTTTAACTATTTAAAACACCGATTAAAAATTTAAAAACAATATTTTTAAATAAAAATTTTATAGTAATTATTAAATGTTTCGGTTAAAACTTAATTATAATTGTAAGCTCAAACATTTGCTCAATATATGCTTACAATTAAATGTTATTATTCAATATTTTTCATTATCTTTTTGGTCTTTTTAGTAATACACTTTCATTTATGACCCCATAATAATCATGTTAAATTAAAATAGTATTATAACTTAAATTCTCATTCATCTATTTCACAATTAAAAATAAATCTGACATTATGTAATTTCTCAGTACAAAGCCATCGTAATCTTAATACTTTTATTCGTTTTAAATTACCATTCAGAATATCTTAAGATGTTCCTAAGGTTATTCACTAGTCATGCCCAAAGGATTTGGTTTGAATTTCTATAATTTCAATCATTTTATGATAGGCATATTAATTCTTTGTAGAAATGTATTTTTTAAATGAGTATTCGGAAACGTAAGCGTTTGTTTTTTATCAGTTTCACGTGAACTCAAGGATATAAACTTATTCAGTGGAACCAATTATCTTAAAAGATGGCGAAGTTGGAAAATAACTTAATTAATTACATTTTACTCTTTATAATTGATAAAGATAAGCTTTTAAGCGCAAACAGTAGTGAAATACAACTTTTTATATAAAGTAGCCGTTAAAATATTTTCATTTCCTCAATATAAAAAAGATAACAAAACGATCACAATTGTAGAAACCATACGAGTATTTAATAATTTCTAGATTTTTTTATGTAGTATTAATTTGCATATTTAATGCAACAAAGTTTATACTCCACAGTATTTTATTACCGAAAGTTAGTTATACTTTGAATATATTTTCTAAAATAATTAAGTCATTTGTAGATAAATTAATTTTGAAGTATGGAATAGTATTACCATATTTGAATGATATGAGGCATAATTAAACCACAAGAGTGGGTTCCCTTTATTTTTAATTTTATTTCATGAAGAATGTGATAATTCTTGCATGGATATTTTAAGTAAGGCGTATGAAGGTCGGGGAGTTAAACTATAGTCACTGATTGTTAGTCATTTCAATTTGTAAATTGTTTATTCTAAGAAAATGGCATACATTTCAACAGCATTCAATATATCCCATTAAGTGATTTCACACATTGTACTTAAATAGAAAAGGAGATTACATAACTGAAAACGAAATAAAACTACTATAGAGTCAAAAATATCGGATTTCGGAAATGATATACGACAAAAGCTACTTAACGTTTAGCTTGTTTGTTTTGAACAACGGTGTACCTAATATATAGTATGCGTAAAATCATTTCACGCCCATTGTGTGTAACCGGATATCTCTAACCCTTTTCTAGGGGTAATCTTTTATGCAGGCTACGGATCATTCGGTTGGTTTATTTTATTTTTTAATTCGCCATCTACACGATATAGCACATCGGTTTGAGTTTAACAGAAATACAAAATATTTACCGACCAAATTGCAGTTTAGAGTCATACCGAGAATCGTTATTCATTTCGTTATTTGGCATCCTGCGAGTGTTGCGATTTTATTTTCCAGTACAGCTTACAGTTTAGCACGTGCTCCCTTAGTGTATTTGTTTGCCTAAAGATCCGTTGCAGCGATTCCATTCGACTATTGTTATTTTATTGCACCCTCTTGAATTTCCCAAGAGTAAAAAAATGCAAATATTAGCATATTGAGGTGGGGCCGGGTTTGTCATGATATTCTTTTGGCAAACAAAAAAAAACCCTTTACCGTCGGTCTCCCGGAGGCTATCGGAATAAAAATAACGTTTAAAACAGTCGCGCATTTCTTCGAATACACAGCAAGAACACTCTTTAACTGGCCACGGTATTATGTACATACATTACTTGGGCGTAACAACGTCGTTTTCAAAAATATTATTTCTACCGATTGTCAGCGGTCATTTGCATAATGTCCAGAGATAGCGTTTTGTACTAACTCGTGGAATCAAAATCGTTTATTCGACGGTTGTTTTTCCAACCACTATATTGTTAAATGTAATATACATGCAATAATAAAGCTGACGACCCTCATACACACCGAGTTCCGCTTTACTCGGTAAAAACCACCTGGGGCTTTGAATACAAAAATAAAAAAACAATTGTTTTCGTCTCTTTTGAAATCGAAGCGTGCGAATTCATCATTTCATTATTGATAAATGTTAAACTCAAAGAGGATAACGTTAAAAAATGCAAAAATATGTAGATTTCCAATTGACGATGTTTGAATACAAGATCATATTTTTGGTTCAAAATTTTCGTTATTCCTATAATTTAATTCACACATGAGGTTTTTGTGTGTATTAATAATTTTCTACTTGTTTTCTTGAGTATATACAAAAGCTGTTTCAATTACCGACCGCGTGTTTAATTTTCATATATTTCATACGTGTTCTTCATTTATGTGATTTATTTTATAGACTCCTAAATCATGTGCAATATGTTTATCACTCTAATTGAAGCCTACAAAATTACGTTATTAACAATTTATTGTAAATAGTTCAAGGTGAAAATAAAAGAAAAAGTTTAAAATTTAATACAAACTACTTTATTTCAGTAAACCTGTTATTGTAGAACATTAATATTATTTATGTGTCTAAAAATGCTTATGGTGAATAATTATCGTATATTTTAAGGATCTGGATCACGTACAACTATACATTTCAATATACTAACTCATAGATACAGTGCTTTTTTTTATAGATAGAAAGAACATTGAAAATATTAGTAAATAATACCTACTTGTTCTGATATTGCATTGATACATTCACGTGTGAGGATATGGGACAGTCGTTCAACTCATTCCACAACTAGTTTAGTTAAACAATATTTCTAGTGTCTTGCCTAATCGTCTTTATCGATTCAGTAATTTTGTGTAGGTTGCGAGAGTCGTGTATCTCGGAGAACATAAATATGAAACTTGAGTACTAGTGTGTCAGACTTGCATTTTAATTACAAAAAGTTCCTATTAATAACGCAATATTTTTAGCGCAAAGTTGACACTTCACAAACAAAAAATAGAATTCATTTAAACGATATAAATCAATAGATTTAGTTTAAATATTAGGATATTAAATCAAATGCAAATTCACAAAATAGAAATACAACGTGGTTCATAAAAACAATTACAAGCGTACACATTGTGTTCTGCTTCTGTGGCACTAACGGGCAAGTGTACCTGTGATTTATCACAAAACGCGTTAATGGGTACGATCAATTCCTTGGTTTATGGTAAGTAACTGCGGGAAAACTTTCATCTTTATCTTAACGCACTTCAGCCATATGTTTCGCAAACAACATCAATAATAACTTGATAATAATCGAATTTACTTGTTGTTTTCATTTAAAATTTACAATTTCAATTGTTTTCAAATAAAAATTATATAAAAAATATGTTGACAAAAGCCAGTTAATAGTACACTATCGTATTATAAGAATAAAAACGCACTAAAAAAGCTGTGTATGTAGAGGGTATTTTTCAATTTCCATGCTCAAAGCTGTAAAAGATAGGAACAAAAGCAAATATATATGTCTAAGATTTTGCAGACTCCTGTAATCTGTTTAATTTGAACCGTTGTAACATATTATTACTATAATAACAATACAATATGTATACAGCTGCTTTTATAGATATATGTACTAACAATTGGGACACTTGTGTAAGTATGTATTAACATATTACCTACAAAACAGTACAATGTGTGGATAATAGAATTTACATTACTAACATTGTTATAATTTATATAGTTAAACATAAAAGTTAAATAGAAATACAAATGGTAAGGTCTACATAAGTTAAAAATAAACAAAATAATAAAATTTACAATTTGTAGATCAACCTTATTTGGTTATTTTTAGTTAGCTTATTGTTTATTAATAACACATATAAAGGCTCTTTCTCATACTTAATTTTTTGTGAGTACAACAATTATTGAAATGAATGAATTATGAAATATATAAATATTATTTCTTCCGATAATTACTTAGAGTGTAATACAACTAAAAGTATAATGAAACTTGTTCCATTCTATTCAACAGAAATTTGGCGAAGGCGTTAAAAACATTACAAAAGATGTCTTTGTGCGCATTTTAAAGTTTTACTTTCAAGATAATTATTTTTGTATTCTACTCGATGCTTCTTATTTGAGTCCCAAATAAACAACAGTAAAAAACATTATCTGCGTAGAGAATAACAAAGAAAACAAGCAAAATTAGCAGACAATGTTTTATCGGAAAATGTTTAACAAGACTATTTACACTTATATATATATATTTAAAAATTGAATCTAAGGACTTCTTCAATTATAACTATATGATAGTTTCATCTCATACTATACATTTTCTAATTTGAAGTTTTATTAGATGTAATTTTCAACACGACTTCCTAACACTTGATGCAAACTGTCATTATATTGTTTTAATATTAATCATTTTACACTTAACGATACGAGTCTGATACTTCAAATAAAATATTGTCCGTAATCAAAAAAACTATAAAAGAAATTTCTAAACATGTTAATATTAGGATTTGGAAAAAACGACGAGTAATAAATGAAAAAATATGTCAGTAAATTCTGAACATAGGACACGGTGAAGAAGATAAACCTTATATGGAAAATATATACACAGTGAGATACGCGCAGATTATTCTAAAATGACCGACAATGAAGGGAGTGAGTACGTGAATTTGTTTCTGTGTCTATCAATCGGTCTTTGATCATTGTATACGTGTTCCTCCTGAGGCAAACGGGACCATATGCTCTGAAAAACGTCGGTGGCGTCGTCTTGCCATCTGAATACAAAGTTTCTGTTGTGTTATATTACCCTCACGATCTCTACAACAAAAAATGCCAATCAATTATAGTAATAAAATTATAAGGAGTGTTGATAGTGCACACTCAATGGTTGGAAATGTTACGAGTAAAAATTACATCCATACAATTCGATTTGCTTGTTTTAATAATAATTTTTTTGCAGATTTCTGTAAATTGTCATATGTTGTAAAATACTCATCATTATATTAATTAAGATGTTTAATTCCAATAATTCTCAGTAAATTTTCCCTATGAAATTAAATAACATAAAATTTTAATATATGAAAGGCTTCAATAAAAATGTTGTTTATAGATGATTTTAACAATTGATTATAACTTTAGCTTTTCAGGATCAATAAAATAAAAATAATAAAACATTCTATTACACACTACTATGTTTAGCTTGTGGATACTTTTTTTTTTTTCAAAACTATAGATAAAAATAATTATTTGTCGTTAGGAATATCATATCAATCAAGGTTACAGTTTAAGGTAAATATTATAATGGCTACAGATGCACTATAATTTTAAAAAAATATCCAGACATATAATTGATGATTCCGTTATTTTCGATAATATGAACTATTTACTTGTTGCAACATTAGTAACTGTATACAATAAACCGACTTAAAACAAATATTAGTAATTGCACAGTTACGCGAGTAGTGTCCTCGGTACAAAAGTAATATGATTAGCTCTTTTACACTTAACTGAAAAAAAATAGAATTAGACTAAATATTTAATGTATAGCTATATGTGTTTCAATATGTTCTATGATCGTATACGTCTGTGGAAAAGGTAAAATTAATAAACGTGACGTAACAGTTCTCAAATCGGATTTAACCGATCGGGTCACAACGACTAATATGAAACCGTCGTTAAAACAACTACGTTACTGGTTTAATAAAAAATAGGTGAAAGGCTTATTTTTTAAATCATTGAAATGTTCGTAAAACAGGCGGTGGGTTGTTAGAGTGATTATAATCCTGTAATTATAATATGATGTCTGCATGCTCATCCATGTTAGCAAACTTGAACTACTTGATATATAGTTCAAGAACGGGAATATTTCTTTTAATATATATAATATGAAAATGTAATTATTTACTATTTGTAGAATAAATATTTGTGTATTGTGTCTATTGAAGTAAAATCGAATAACATTAAAAACTTTTATGTTGTTAAGGATGCAGCTAAATAATTTAATAAAAAAAAAATCTAAATAATAGATATACATTTTTACAATTTTTATACGCCACTTGTTGCATTACTATAGTTTTAAAAACGAATATTTTTTTATACTTAATTATTTTGATAAAGAAATATGGTCCCAATAGTTTTGAGACTCAATTACGGTAAGAGTATTTTTAAAGTTGTTTTGAATGCCTTAAGACTCGTATTATTGAATAGATTTGTTTTGTATTTGATTATGAATCGTTAGATTCTAAAAATAATTTTGAAAATCGAAATAAGTTTTATTTTAAACAAAACGCTATATATTTGTTATTCCAAGAAGTCGAAATAAACCTTCAGACTTGCGCGAATTAAATATATACCTATACATTATATAATAATAGTTGCATTCAAATATCACTAGTTTTTATTTGCTTACAGAAAATTTCTGTAAATTTATATTTAATATAAATATGGGTCGAATACAATGAATAATTAATTTCTATGTATACAGAGTGAATGATTAATTATGCTCACAAATTATCTCTGAAAATATGAGTTATCTTTTTTTTTCTTTATGAAATACGATGTTTGGCTGTTCAGTGAGTAAAATTACATTTTTATGATCATCCCTTATGCTTTAAATCAGTATTAGCTTTCAATTTTCAAATAGTAAACCTATTTTTTTATATATAATCAGATTGAATTTAGTTTTATTTTTTTATTTTATTTAATTATCAACGAGCTATGATTCATTGAACTTTAGGAGACGTGAGTATTACTCACGTTGATTTATAAAAAAACTCACAAATTTTATGTCGCGATACAATACACTGATAGTTCTTATCTGTACACTAAATATTAATGTTACTGCATTTACCCGACTACTGTATTATTTGTTAAATCCCCTAAACTTTAAATAGCGATATCTCGTTTAGAATTTATTAAAATTGATTTTTTTTTTTTTTGTGAATTTTTTTTTATGCTTAACAAGATTAATAAAAAAAAAACTGGGTTGCTATTTAAAAAACTAAAGCTGATATTGATTTGAGGGTTAAGGGATGAAGATGGAATCTTTATTTTTCTTGTCAAGTAGCTCAACAAAAATTTATAACAAATAAAATTATTACATATATGGTAACACTAAAATTTTTATTATTTTATTCATTTAAAAAACCAATATATATCAGTTCCTATAAAATATTATAATTTTCACTTTGACCACGATTAAAAATGTACATTATGAACACTATTATTAATGATATTTACTTATTAGAAAGACCTTTTTATAAATTTTGGACACGGTTAATAGTTTGTATAGTGAGCACCGTTAAAAATAATATATATATACATATAACTAATTGATTAAATGATACTACAAATTCTCATTCAAGACAACACTATTTAGTGTACTTAATATAATGTTTACTTTATAGTACTTATTAAATTATTAAAAATAAAACAAAATAAATTCAATATTAAACTGTTAAAAAATATATTTTAATATAACAAACTATAATACAAATTAATCTATAAAAAATAACTTTTCATACACATAATTCAACAAAAAAATAAAATAAAAATACACGGAATAACTAGTGTATAGTGAACACCGAATCCTTTAAGAATAACCGACTAACAGCTATACTGTGACGGTCTTGGAGAAAGGAAGTTAGAAGAAAGCGAAAAAAATTATAACAAAATATAAATTATCAGTTCTATTTATACGCTATTTTGCCTATTTGACTTAATTTAAAAAAAAATTTCTATTTCACTCGCCCTTATAGTATGTACTAAAATAACACATTTATCAACGCACTACTTATAAATGTAATACTTCAAGTATAGTCAAGCTCCGTGATATTTTTTAATTATAATTGGCTTTGTAATTTTAAGCCAAATATTTTGAAATGGTATTTAATTTATTTTACAAATTAAAATAATTGGTTTTGATTACAATTTGTTAACATTTAGAAGTATTTATTCGTTTCTGTATTAAACAACAATTTAAAAATATATATATAAATATCAATATATACAAAAATAAAACATATTCATTTCTATGTACTATTTAGTATGTGTACGATTAGTGGTATTGATATTTCTAACCTTAATTTCAGTTGTATTGGTGCTGAATTGTTCGTTGATGTAGGAGTTTTAATATAGTTGACATTTGTGTGTATTTATTCGCTGTTCTCTCAAACATTGTTTGTTGATATTTCCATTTTATTCCTCATGAAAAATCTTATGGTTACTAGTTAGTTTTTATTTAAAGAGAAAAGAAAAAACAACGTGTTCATTTTTTAATAATCAGATATCATTTTTTATATTTCATTTCTTTTAAAACATAACCAACCAACTATATTATCTTCTTATCACTTTGTTAGGCATGACAACATTTTTCCAGCGCCGCCACCACATAACGCGAATGCAAAAGTCCCACACGATGTTGCCGCATATTATACAATAATATGAGTAATCATACAATAATAGTACATTTACAACATTTCGTCTAAACTGTACCATTACAATTTAGTTAGGAAAACTTGGGTATTAGTTGACTTAATACTTTGACTAACAAATGTAAATAATAGACCTAGAATGATTTTTATGTACCTTTTTAAATATGTAATAGTTTTATAAGTTTTTTTTTTTTACAATAATATTACGTCAATTTTTAATATTTATATTTGATAGTTATTATATAATTTTTAATTGTAGTTATTATGTTAAAAACCTTTTAAACTACAAAAGTATTAACAGCTTTTTACTTTTACAGGTGTCCCTTCAACGTTGAACTACATATCACTCGATGTTAGTACTTCGCCATCGCCAAAACTTACTCCATATCCAAACTGGGCGTACAACAGACAAGGAAATTGTGATGGATTAACAACAACTTACAGAGTAAAGGCTGATTCATGCAACAGACTTTGGGTTCTTGATTCTGGTACCGTTGGAATTGGTAAGTCCATAAAAAAATTACTAATAAGATAACAAAATTTTCGTATTTTTACTTTTGTTTTTTTCTATCTTATTTCATTTCAATTAATACATAAAATATTTAAAGTAAAATTATAGAAGCACTAACTGAATTCAATCTGAAACCAAATAAATAAATCATTTTAAACAACTCTCATTAACTTAATTCTGCCTCTCCCAATGACTACTTTTTATTTTGCTTATGAAAAAAAAATTTTTTTATGCAAAAAAAAAGAAACTTCAACTATTTATATTACTTCATATTTCAGTGCAGCCTTTATAACTTGTCTTCCGTAGTACGTGCATTCAATATCACCCTAGTTGGGGGCAAGTATATAAGCTATATGTTTTATATTAAATTAAATGTATCTATTATTATTTTATGTTACCTTTAATATTGATAAATATATAAATAAATAATAAGAACTGATCACTTAAGTAAACTTCAACTTAGATTAATAATACGAGAGTTTGATTTTATTCAATTTTTTTATACCTAAAAATTTCTATACTGCGTTTTTGTCATCTGAGGTTTTAGTTTCTAAATGTTTATTTTCCTGTTCTTAACAGTGTTTACTTCTTCGACTGTGTCAACGTTTTTACCTACTGTTTTATAATGACGGTTTTTCTTGTGTTCCTTTGTTTCTAGTGTACTGTAATTTATTAGACACAGTTAAAAGTATCAACAAGACAAAATAAATAAGAAATCATGAATTTTTTACTATCTGATAGTCCTGCGCGATTATTTTCTTTTAGCTCGATTATCGATTGTACTAAAATAATCGATTAATTTTTATAATTAAAGTTTATCAGAAATAAGTTCCTTTTTGAATAAAGGTAATCATTTTTTTTANTAGCTCGATTATCGATTGTACTAAAATAATCGATTAATTTTTATAATTAAAGTTTATCAGAAATAAGTTCCTTTTTGAATAAAAGTAATCATTTTTTTTTGGAATTCTTAACATTTTTTATACATGCAATTGTTTACTTTTTAAATTTTAGGTAACACTACAAAACAAGTATGTCCTTATGCTATTCACGTGTTTGACTTAACAACAGATAAAGTTTTGAGAAAATATACTTTACGACCTGATGACACTAACGCCAATACATTCATTGCCAACATCGCAATTGATATAGGAGCTAAAGGTTGTGAAGACACCTTTTTATATGCATCTGATGAGCTCGGCTATGGATTAATTTCTTACAGTTGGGAATTAAATACATCTTGGAGACACACACATAGTTATTTCATGCCTGATCCTTTAGCTGGAGATTTCAACATTGGAGGTATATTAAATTTAACAATTGTTGTAATTAAATGTAGTAACTACGATTAGGTTAAAATTAAATTTATGTAAAACAGGTTTGAACTTTCAATGGGGAGAAGAAGGTATATTTGGTATTACTGTATCACCTTTCCTCGAAGATGGTTTCCGTTTATTATTTTTCCATCCTCTAGCCAGTAACCGAGAATTCGCCGTTTCAACAAAAATTTTAAGAAACCCAAAACTTACTTCTGAAGAAATCTACCATGATTTCGTAGTTCTTGATTCTCGAGGTCCAGGAGGTCATATTACATCACATTATATGAATGACGAAGGAATCTTGTTTTTCAATCTTATTGATAGAAATGCCGTAGGCTGCTGGAACTCCAAAATACCATATAGTCCTAGTTCCTTGGATGTCATTGATTTGGATAATGAAGCATTAATCTTTCCCAGCGACGTCAAAGTTGATGCCTTAAGAAATCTATGGGTTATTTCTGACAGAATGCCCAATCACTTAATTGATAAATTGAATTTCAACGACATTAATTTCAGAATTTTCTACGCTCCTTTAGAGAAGGCATTATCTGGTACTGTCTGTTCTGATAATATTCCATACGCCCCCTTAGCACTTCCAAATCAAGTTATTCAAAAAGGTTACTAGTTATATGATAATATTGTCAATAATTTTTAGTTTTATAATTCATCATGATACCTGAATTCATTTGTACCATACTTTATTTATATTGATAATAAAACTATTGAATCAATGGTTTTAATGTTTCATTACATTGTACCTACACAAAAGTAGTCATTAATATTTTAGAAGTTTTAATTTTATGGTTAGTAAAATAATTAGATATTTTTAATTCAGTCTATATATCAAAAATGTATTATAAGTTATTTATTGTTCATTTAAGTTTTCTATTTTGAATTTTTTGTATTCATAATAATTTTAGTTAACACAATAAAGAAATACAGGACATACATGTTTTTTTTATTCCTTGGTATATTAAATAGTTGTATTTTAAATAGATAGTTTTTATATATCATTTATAGGAACTGTTATAATATTCGCAGCTGAAAACCACATTTTAATATAACATTCAACTACAAAACATTATATATCTTCTAGTGCATTTACTTTTTTTGAAGGCCCAAGTAATTGACTCATTTCTTCAACGTTTTCCACCATATCAATATCTTCTTTCTCCGAGCTAGAGCTGCTATAATATTGAATATTATATGCTAAATAATAAAATACTTTGGTATATAAAAACTGCTTACTTATAATGTCCTGAAATTATTGTGTAATATTTAATAAATACCTGTACAATTTGCGATTCCTAACTTCTCTTTTTTCTTTCGATAATTTTCTTCTTCTTGTCGAGTAATATTACGTTTTTCAATACTTATTAACTTCATATCAATACCAAGCATGCCCCTGGGCGGCCTTTTTTAAGTTGTGACAATAAAAACTGTTTGTCTTCTTCAATACTCATCATATTCAGAGCTTCGATATGAGAAATGTCAACGAGGTTGTCTAATTCTTCAGAAAAAATATTATAATGTTGTTCTTGTGTTTGTTTTCCTAGATTTATTTTTGTCCAACTTTCTCTATTTCTCATACAATATTTTAAATTTAATAACACAGTCTGAAGAATACTGTGTAGGAATACGCGCTTTTCTCCAAAATATTAAACACTCATCTATTACAATTATTATTTCATTGTGTTTCTTGTTTTTTTTTTTTATTTAATATAACTAAAAAAATTTGTTAATTTATGAACAAAAAACATACATGAAAAAAAAATTTAAAAAAAAAACAAGTTTTCGTAGTTGTTTTAAATTTTTATTTGGAAAGGATTCATAATTCGAAAAAAACTCAAATAACGTTTTTTATAGAAGATATCACGGTGATTAATATTACTTCTGTACAATTTCTGCGTACAATTAAAATTTAAGACACTGGAAAAGTATAACTGAAAACTGTCATTTTTTTAAAAAAATTAAGTGAAACTGATTTTTCTTATTTTTACGAAAAAATATTAATTTTACAAAAAAATAGTATATTACCTTATTTTGTTCACATTGAGTTCTATAAAAATTGTTCTTTGCGTTTTGGCGAAACTTCAAAAATAAAGAGCGTACACTCAAAAAAAGATAATCCACCCCATTTTTGAAGAACTTCAACCTCTTTGAGGCACGTGAAGGAGTTGACTTATTGTACTCAAATTTTACCAGTTTCATTTTTTCAGTGAACCTAACGAAATTTTGAGCCCATGACTTTGAATTTCTTAAAAAAAAATTTTTATTCTATAACTAAGGACCACCCTAATATATATATATGGAATAATGATGAACATTGACGTCAAAAGATAACATTTTCTCAGTACACAAACTTGTTTGAAGAGCCCTAACCATAAAAATACATACATTATATTATTAAAAATTTAGTTATAGAACTATATGAAAACTAAATTGTAAGAATTTTAAAACATATAATCAAGTTTATTTAAAAATAATTAATAGTTTTATAATTACTATCATCTAATGTGTTAATTTAATTAATATAATGAATTTTAAAATATTAATATTAAGATTAAATGGATATTTTAATGATTTGGTTGATTATTAATTATATACTCTAGCATATTTAATAAATTCAAAAATAGGGCACTGGCATTTATTGTAATCAAACGTACACATAATCTGTAAAATGTTAATTTTTCTGCTATACTATTTTGTTGTCAACAAATAATAATATAAAATTATATTTACACTTAAATTAGCAAAAATATTATTAAATTTTATCGCATTCTTTAAATATAATAAAATTTTATTTTTGAAAATATTGCATATGTCAATTAAAAATTCAAATCTTGTAATTTTCTTGAAAGTGATTTTAAATGTTATGAATTTATTGCTTTCTTTATCACATTAATGGTCTGATTTAAAAAAAACTGGAATACAAATTATTGTTGTAGTATCTGTAATATAAATTATAATTCAATTTAAAAAGACCAACTTAAACATAAGATAACAGAATATACTTAATAAATATTAAACTGTTTAAATCATTAAAATGCAGATTAACATGAAAGTGTATTTTTTTTTTTATACAGATTTTGCAATTAGGGTAACCAAAAGTTGTACAGCTCAGTGAATTATCAATGTTATCTGATTAAAATTAAAATTAAATAATTTATCAAAATTGTTACTAGAAAATGTTAGGTTATAATTAATGATCTTTACATAAAATCATTTTATGATACCAAATCTTTTTATTAGGTTTTTTTTATAAGATGGTAGGATGATTTGAAAAAACAATGGTTCTACAATTGTCATATTATGTTACTTCCCTATTTAGTTTTGGTTCTACTTAAAAGAATATATAGAACTATTATAATCTGTAAATTTTTCATGTTAATTTATGTTCATTGGTACCACAAAACACAAATTAACACATTAGTGTTATTTACTATTTTATATTCATTCGAATGCAAACGAAAATTGATGACTTATCATAAAGCGAGAATTTAAAAAACTAATTTAAAAGAAGAAGCCATAAGCTTTAATAATTTATGGTTATGACTGATTTTTATCTCATTTAAAATATACGAAATGACTTAATGGTAAATCGTTATCAATCCTTTGGCCATTTTCAAAAATGAATAGTTAAAAAAAAAAATCTAATATCTTAAACTTTGTAAAAACTGAAATTGATTAAATATCCAATCATTAATAGATTTAGATTATTTTATACATTCTATAAACTCACATTTAAAATATATGTACACATCAAAAAAATAATTTAATAAACTAATTTTTATATAGCAATATATGATCGTCAACGTGTCTCGTGCACTTTCTTTTTATATGTTTAAAGATTCAATATATTATTAAATAAATACAAAATTTGGTAAACTTGATGATTTTTTTAATACTATTTAAATTTAAAAATTAATTATTTCATTTTTATGTGTATAAAATATTATAAATTTAATCTAAAAAATGCAAGGACTAATATTAATTTAAATATTATTGTATTATTATTAATATGTAATAGTTAAAAAACAAATGATTTTAATTTATGTTTCCAATAAAGGTACTTGTAAATTGATTTCTTAATTTTACGACATGAAATCTGATATATATATATTTATTTATTTACGTCCAGTGGGTTAAAGTACAGATATAAGAAAACAATTAATACTTTACAAATTTAAAATTAGTTGACTTTAATAATAAAAAAATATTACAAAAGACATATAAATAAGCTTAGTATTAATTTACAAAAAATGTATGATTAAGAATGAAACAAATTATATTTTTCACTCAAAATTGCCGTGTTGGTAATTTGTATAGATTTTCTTACAATTTAGAAGCGGTAAAACAAAATTTAAAGGTAAATATCAAATCAGTGCCAACAAATGCTTTAGATAATAGTTTATACATAATAATAACTTCGAATTGCCTTAAACATCTAAGAGAAGATATAAATTTTTGCATATTTGTATCAAATCACTTTAGAATGATGGACGAAAAATGGTAAGGTTGGCTTAGAAGATTTATTCTCCTGTATTATTTCATCAGTTCTCTATTTTCTTCTATTCTAAAATATACATTTTATTATTATAGTACCATAGGAAATATTAATAAAAAATGGTTTAAGGAGGTAATAAAATAGTTCATTAATCATGGAAATGATAAGCGTTATTATAATGCTTTTGATATAAATGTGCACAAGTTAATTCTTCTCTTAGTTGTTCGTTTAAGGTGTGTTCTAACTCCTCTGATGTCCGCCTATGATTATGATAGTGATTTTAATCGTTACTAGACTTCATTCAATACTCATACTCTGGTTTTGACAAATACAGTGTAATAGTACTTTCTTTAAATTAATTTTATAAAAATTTTTGTTTTTCCTAGAATTATTTTATGAAGAACAAGTAACTAATTAGTGTAAATACTTAGCTTTGTAATGATTATTGGACCATAACAGTTTTATTTTGTACTCAGAACTTTATAAAATGTGTCGAATGGCTTTAGTTTAAAAGTTGTTGTGCACTTTATAACTTGTAATTAAACATTAAGCACTTTATAAAAATATGTTCAAACACATTATTTATACTATATGTCTAACTAAATGGCTCTATTACTTTAATATTTACGACTTAATTAGTTGCGGGACATTTTTAAGCCTCTGATAACACATTCAGTAAAATATTATTGCGTTGTTTAAATCATAATATCTAATAATACTCGTACACTTTCAAAAGCAAGTACTGATGATTTAAATCGAATAGCGTTAGAGGATAAATGTTTGTTGTGACAAATGATTTAATCAAACGTAGGATATATGTAAAACAGTCACATAAATGCTATGCACAATATAAGTTTATACGTAACACTATTTTGTATTAATAATGCATAAGTGCATAATTAAAATATTAAGCAGTTCAAGAAGCTTTATTTGCTACTTCTTATTTATTTATTACACAAAAAAAATTATTAACAGTACTAATCAAGTAACATTTTATATTTTTATTTTTTACTATAGTATCATTAATCTTAGTTAATAGGCAATAACAATCATTATATTTTTTTTGTAAACGTATTTATTTAATATAAATCTAAAATATTATAACACATTATAATATTATAATATTAAAAACTTCAAAATTTAAACAAAGTATCCTTAAATTAATTTAATTACTTTTATGATCGAATTTATAGTTACACTTGATAATTTAATGCATTGTGCATTAATAAATTTAAAAATTTTTTAAATTTCAATTTAGACGTGCAAAAAGT